CGAAAAACTGGGAGACGACGACACCTGCAATTAATGGAAACGGTAATGTTAACATTTGGAATACGCGTAAAAGTATTTATTTAACAAATAATTTACACAGTTTTAATAATCTGATATCATCAGCTGGTCTTTGACATCATTGTAATTATCTCTGCTTTGGTCCTCTGGGCCTTTTATCCTCTGGGTCATGGATAAATGTGCGATTTAACATCTCTACCTTATAGTCAAGAATCACTACATTTTAGCAAGTCAGGCCCACAGCATTATAGATCCTCCATCGTACTTGAGGCTGGACATTAAAAGCACTGAGTCGATGTGCCTTCAATTAAGTTGCATTCCATTTGTCCTTTGATATCTTAATTTCCAGCCTCAAAGTCATACATTTGAACTGGAATGCTCCCAAAATTGTAAGTTCCGAATTGGGAAGTGAAAGGATGGTTCCTGCTTTCTCCCATCAACAGTTTGCAGACCTTCCCTACTTTGACTAGGCTTTATTTTTGCGTGTAGCGTTATATCAACTGTGTTTAGAGGAACAGATGTTTCAATGCCGTCTAAAGGCGCAGATAACAATGTTCTTGTCATTTTCATGGTTTGTAACGGCGACCATGGAGAACATAAATGCATAGGCAAAAAAACTGAAACAAATCTAACATGTTCTCTAAATAGAGATGAGAGAATAATCATCATTGCCTTTAACTTTCTTTGCCTTCGCCTCCAGATCAGGTTAGAGCTGAACAATTACATCTGGAGTATAATCAGGATAAATTTCCAAATTTCTGTAATCCATGTATGGTTCATTCTTTGTTTTTTTCCGTTTCAAAACAAAAACGAAAAAACAAAACAAGCATGTGGTTTATTGTTTTTCCATTTTTAAAACGGCATTTGCAAAAATGAAAAAAGGATACGTTTTGGGATTTTTTGAACTGCAATGGTTAAACCAAAGACAAACTTTTATTTTGTTGTTAATTCAACAGACCTTATGGCAGAACCAGAAATGAAGACCTGAACTCCCAACACATAACTTTTTTAGTTACCAGTAGGTGGTGGTAATGTACGCCTTCAATTTCTTGCCAACCGCCATTACAATTTACAAGAAAAGGAACTTTTTCAGTTAGCACTACCAAAATGGAAACGAGTAATGTGGAGCTCCATGGCGGCTCAAAGCATCACTGATTTCAGAGTGTTTTTTTCCCTCTCTCAAAAAGTTCCATAATCAATGCAGAAAACAGTTCAAGTGCAGCCATTGCCTTTTATTTAGAAGTGGTTTGTTTTGATGCCGTCTTCATCCACTGTAAATTATTTTTCTTTGGCGACTTACTTCATTTCCGGTACCGCTACATATTTAAACAACTGTATTTTATTTTCATTTAGATGGCAAAACAAAACATAAACGCTGTTGATTTTCAATTAATTAGATTTTTCATTTTTTCGATTTAGGTTTTAAAAACAGAAAAACAGAAAAACCACATGCTTGTTTTGTTTTTTGGTTTTTGCTTTGAAACGAAAAAACCAAAGAACGAACAATACACAGATTTTCTCTTCCACTGATTTTTGGTTCTGATCAGAAAGAGTAGTACAAAAACTTTCTAACTCCAGCACGTTAGGTAGCAGCAGCACACTCAAGGTGTAGATTGAGCAAGAGGAAACATCTGCCTATACTAGCTAGATTTGAGCAGAAATAATTAGGAACCAAACACAATCTCATTTTTTAAGACGACAAAAATAAATAAATACATTTAATTGTATTTCTTTGGCAGAATAGCAGCATAAGTCCAGCAAAACTAGCTACCATCAATCATGCTAACATGTACCTTTAAGATGGAATCTGTTAGCATATCTCAGATGTGAAAATTACACCCTGACCTTGTTTTAGAATCCCTGCCAATGATTTATAACTGAGTGATTGATAATTAACACACAGTCAAAGCAGGTTAATGTGTATACTGCAGCGTGGAGGTACACTTTGGAACCTGGACGTCCTGAAAAAAAAAAAAAAAAAAGCCTGTTCGGCAAAAACAATTAAAGTAGATCCCATCTGATAATTGCTTCCCATGTAAAGAATCATTAGATTAGTAAATAAACCACTGACTGATGTCTCAGTAGGAATCATTGCTCTATTTTCTTTCCCTGTGTCGACGCCTAACAGGTGAACCTAGCATCTTCAGCAGCGCCCCTCTGGGGTTTTACATCATCGGCAGCATGTTGATGCTAATTGGAGCGAAATATATCACAGGTTAGTTGCCGTTTTCTTTCACATATTTGCTCACATGAATGCTAAGGAAATATATTAGGTACAAATCTTATTGGGTTCTTTTTTTAAGTGAAGTATGTCTTAAGAAAGTAAAAATTAGAAATGAGGATTTTTTTTTACCTTAAGTAAAATGAATGTAATTTTGAGTAAAGAGTGTAAAGTTGTAATCATTGCATTCTGTTTATTTTTTTAAGTATTTATAAAAAAAAAAAAACTTGATTTAGAGTTTTCTTCCTACAATAACGACTCATTAGCTCAGCATCTCCTTTCTTTTTATTTTTTGTTTTCAACAGCCAGCATTACCATGTGCTTGGCATTTTTCCCAAATTAGCAAAAAACAGACATTTGTCAACATCTCTTCTCTTTTTTTTTTTTTTCTTTCATCTGGACATAAGCCAAATGTTCGTCAGATTGTAACCTGATCCTGTTGTTGACTCTGAAACTTGTTCTGTTGCTTCTCAACTTGATTTCAGGTCATGACTAGTTTTCCGATACCGTCTGGGAGCTAAAGAGGAGAAGAATAACAACAAAAAAAAAAACAACCGCCCACTGCTTGTGTCCTTTCTGCACCATTCCAGAGGAATGAAGAATCCAGACAGCTCTGCAGCAGCTTAGACCATATCGGCACACAGCGGACTAATTGTGTTTGTTTGGATTTGTTTTACAGCCTAGATATGAATTTTCCATTTATTTATGTAGGAACACACTAAAGCTACTGTTGGCTTTGAATATGTGGTCTGATTTACTTTAAGTGTCATTGCACGCCATCTGGACTGCGTTATTACAGTTTGTGTGTATTTAGGATGATGGCAGCAGGAGGATGTGAGAAACTCGAGGCTTTTAGACAGCAGGGTCAGTGTGCTTAAATGTTCATTATTAAAACATTGTGGGCAACACAAACCTGAGGGAAAAACGGGCAGTAAGACTATCATTTTTTTTAACATTGAAGTAAAGAAAAACAGCACATGTTGAATAAAACCTAATGCAGACTTATAGGAGCCTTTTAGTTCAGATTAACTAAATTAACCCACTGAATTCATATGAAATTCTGCAAAAACTCAGAAGTCGATCAACTTAAACTAAAGCAGACATTGTGAGAAAGTATTTATTCATTTATTTGAATGGAGCCAATAAAGTCTCATGTAAGACAATAAAGGTAAAGTGTTAGTGTTTACCTTTTACAGCCTGGAGACAGGGACCTTCTTCCTTCCTTCATTTTAAGTCAGTATTTTTGAATATACTCGGCCAGTTTAAAGTTCAGAGTTTAAAGAATCAGAACAAATGCTCTTTTTGTGTTTTTTAAAACAATGTTTTTGTAAATTCATTGTAATTTATTAAAACTAAAATAGTTTTTAAGAATTGTGTGTTGTGGTATAAACCTTTTTTTAACAAGGAAAATAAAAGCAACAATTCATACTATAGAAGACTTGTAAATGTAAAGCTGAAAGTTCGCTTTTGGTTAATTGCTTGGCATGTTTTTTTTTTTTTTAATAAACACTAATTTTACCCAGAATCTCTGTATTTGACGCAAAAAGACACAACAAGCCATTTTTCTTTCTATCTACGCAACATAAAATGATATTTAGATTTAATCATTGGCTACTTTATTTATCCAGAGGAATATCTGCCACTTGGATATGGGCAGATGTGTCTTATATTCATAAACTTTTCAACTAAGGCATTACTTATTTACAGTCAAACCAAATATGCATTAGCAATAATAAAGGCAGGGGACCGAACCATTGCAAGGGAGGAATGAGACCATTGAAACACTGTTGACTTCACCAGTAAACATTCAGCTTTATTGGCCCTCTCTCTCAGGAAGGCAACAGCAAAAACCCCATCATTCCTTGATGAGAACTGAAAATCAAAGTTAAAAATATATATTTTTAATAATCAATTTTTTGTTATTTCCAGAAAAAGAACCTAACAACTTGAATTAACTGTCCAAAGTTACCAAGTTTTACAGTCAATAATTAGTGTAGCTTGTAAATGTAAAATAACGGATCATCTCAATGAATTCATCTAACAATGGAGACGGGTGAAAATCAAACCTAGCTACTCTTTAACTCTTGCAAGAATTGAAAGATGCAGAGAATACAATCAAACCCCATTCCCAGCCTCACTGTTCTGCCCAAGCAGAGAGGTTACGGACTTTATAGCTTATTAGATGAAAGTGTTACAAACAACAGTTTGGATAAACAAGCAAAATCATTATTATTGAGAGAGATCAGCTTTTCGTCGCCAACAGGCTTATTTGCAAGAGGTCACTTGACTACAAGCTGATTTAATGCAGATAAAAAAAGATATTCAGAAGTGACCTGGACTTTATTCTAACAGTTAATATAATATATATATATGGCCTACATTTTTCTCAAATGAAGCCCTCTTTGATTTAGTATCATTTGAAAATGAAAAGACGAGAAAACAGATACTTTTATCTTTATTTGTCACAAAACTATACTTGTATCTATAATCAGAAAAATACAGTTCTCATAAAAGTTCAAGCTGAGAGGTAAGGAAGCAAGTCGCTCTGATAAGGTAAATAATCTTTGCCCAAAAAAAGAATGAAAAATAAAAAAAGTGCTCTTTTTTTTCTTTTTCCAAACTATATGACCAAGAGATACGCTTAAATGATGTTGACTTCATAATTATGCCTTAGAATCTCAATATTTTCCAAAGCTTTGTTTGGAAAAAGGTCAGGGCTAGTTCCTCTTCTTCTCACGTCAACACCGCATGTTGCAACCTTTTAATTACAGGTGAGTCTTTCCTGCAGGGAGGAGGGGGAAATCCCAGTTATAGGAGCTGTTGAGAGGAGGAGCTGGTTCCAACAACTCTTTTCAGCTCCACATTCTCATGTTTTACCCAGTTGCCTCTCTGTGCAGCGGTGGGATCGAGTAAGACAGGTAAGATCATCACAGAACAGTAATCTATTTTATAAACCAAAGGGGAAAAAAGTCTTTTTATGTGCTTTAAGTTAATCAGAGCCATAAATAGCTGTTTTGAGCAGATGATTCGGCATGTTTGCAAATTATCTTCAACAGCTTTTCTAAGTTTCCTAAAAAAAAATAATTTTTTTGGCGTTATGTGATTTATTGCTTGGTTTATGAAGATTTTATGGATCTGCTTTTACAACATGGAGTTCAAACCAAGTTTTATCTTCCTGAATTGACCTGATCTATGTGCCAACCAGGAAGTTGGTCCTTGTTTGTGTAAGAGGGGGGGAGCTATTCCTCTTTCTTTTTTTTTCTTTTTTATCTTGCATTGATAGCTGAATACTTTATGGAATCATCACGGGTTGTCGTTGACATATTGGCTTTCTGCAGCCCTTCAGGTGGGGAGCAAGTGGAAGTGGAGCTACCTTTTGGTTTTGTGTCGCAGCATTAATAGTACAGCCTGTAAACATGTTGGATCATGGAGGAAATAACCTGAGGGCTGGCCAGGTGTTGCCAGCCAACTTCAACTTCAGCATCAACCCCAACAGCCAAGGTGAATAATAATAATAAAAAAATCTAATCCAAAAATGTTCTTTCTGTCACTGAAAAGGAGATGTTGGTAAGTAGGCATGATTTTGGAGAATGTTACATAATAAATCCCCTTTTTCTTTATTGTCTCATGTAATGCTAAATTATTACACCGAGGTCTTTGCTATCCATGATTTCTTGTTTCATGGGACATAAAATGAGGCAGAGGGGTTGACCTTTCAGCTGAACTTAACAACATGGCTGAAAATGTCAAAAGAAAAACAGCCGGGTCTATCTATAAATACAGAAACAATTTATTGAGCCTTAGCTCTATTCTCAGTAATAGTAAAATATGATTAGTGAGAAACATTTGATTGTTTGCTCCTGTGGGAAGAGGTTGACCAAATCAAGGAGTAAACGACTCCTTAAAACTTTTTATGCTCATCATAAAAAAAACCCTAATCGAAGTGGATCATCCAAAACAGACATATTACAAAAAAAAAAGAAGAAATCAATCTTCTACATAGTAGCTGATTAAAAAGGACAAAACAAGGATAAATAAAGGTCGGTCAGTTGCAGCGGTCTGGTCTCCTTAATGTCATAAAAACTATAATCTAGTGATCAGTTAGTTAAGATAATCTTTACAGTCAACATTGGATAGGCGTAAATGTCACAGCTATAATGATTATTTACCCTTTATAGTAAAATAATTTGAAAATCTACATTTTGATTTGAATGTTATATGAGGACAAGACCTTATAACTTTGGTGACATTTAAAAAAACATTCATATTCGGATGGTAAACATTGATGTCAATATAATAAGAAACAGTCACTTGCCCTAATATTTAAAAAAAACAAACAAACGTGATTTGATAAGAAGATTTTCTTTTAAATAACCTTTCAGCATTAATGCTGAAACAGGCACTTACATATTTTACTTGTTAACTTTACTCTTTAACATTTCACTTTTTCTTTTTAACTAAATTTACCATAGGTAACACATCATACAATGGCTCATCTAATTTGTCAGTGCCATAATAACATGTACAGCCACGCAGCATTATTTTTCCTTAATTGCTGGATATAAATCTTGTGCTTTTAGATCTCGGTGACAGATGGGGAGGAGACTCAATTTTCTAATTAAGCGTTATGAAAGTGACTTATAATTGGTCATTTGGCCTATAGAGGGTTAAAAATGTTGCAGGGCAAAAAGTTGCATAAAAAGGAGGATGTGCTGTCATTTGCATTCAGAGATTGATTCATTTGGGTCATTATGAAATCTAGAAGAAATGGCAGGAGCATTCATTATTAAAAAATATGTCACTACTTCTACATTGAGTCTTAGAAGCCATTGGAATCTGACACGATTCAATAAAAACAGCCCACACCTCACCTCATCAGTAATTCATTAATCTTACTATCCAAATATACAGTTTTATCAGTTTATCAGTTTTTTGAAAACAAATAAAATGTCAAGAAACACGTACAGAGTGCAGAGGAGAAAATGGCTGGAAAAGAAGTGCGGCTATTCATTCCAATAAAAAAAAATAGTAATTGTAGTTTAGTTTAATATTTAAAGCTTTAATAAAACAGTGTAGAGCACTTTCCCAAAGTATTGTTTATCTATATGAAGAAAAACACATCTATTATGAAATATTTTATTGAATCAGAAAGTGATATTTAAACATGAAATTTCCTTCTGTTTTATATAAACATATATAAAAATTTAAAATGAAAACGTATCAATAACTGCAACCACTGTTTAACTGACATTATTTCTTCATTTATTTTTCAGGATGGATGACATTTGATGCCAAACAACAGGTATCCAGCCAACCTTTGCATAAGACATCCACAGTGAAAGAACTGCTGATGAGGAGGCGCCAGGTTAGTTGCATAACTTTATTATGGCAGCTGTCTAATTTGACTTGGTCGTAGCTATAAGGAAACATTTCAGTTACTAATGCATGAGGAAGAACAAATAAGATTCTTCAGATTGCTATGCAGATTTAAAGGGTTTGTCTCTGAACACCTATCATTAAATATTTACAGGCTTATAACTGATTCTGTTTCCACAGTGGAATCCAGAGCCGAGCTGTGTTTCAGAGCCAACGGCAAAGTCTCCAAAATATGAATCAGTCAGCCCAGACCTGGGCTCCCAAACAGTAACCTCTCACACACCAGTAAACCTGATTCCTCCATCAAACTTCATTCCTGCTCTCCCAGAAAGCGCAGTCATGGCGCCGCAGGAAACACAGCAGCTTCCTGCAGAACAGGAGCTCCCAGCCCCCGAAGGCAAAATGACTCTGTTCCACTGGCAAATACAGCAAGAGTCCAAGAAAGTTGAAGGCCTGCCGGCATCGCTGCTGTGCACGCAGGATTCTGATGGTGACACGTATGTATATATTATTACACAGCTCAATGAAGGAAAACTATCCAAATAGCAGAGTCCACAACACAACTTGAAATGAGACAATTTAAGGTTCAACCGAATTTCCTCCTACTCAGAACAGGGAAGTTGCTTGGATTTAATCCAAGCAAGGCCTACTGGGCTTTAATCATTGGGAAGAGAGCCCCAAATAATAATTAAAGACATTTTTTTCTATCCATCTGCAGTCTCATACCCTGCAAAATCATTACCACTGACTCCAGCCATATTGAGATAATACACAGTGTCTAAGATCAAGGACAGTACAAGATCTTTTGCCTGCTAAGGATTATCATCCCATCAGGATTATAATCTCTGTCTGTGAATTAATCTCTATACTTTATAGTGTTAAACCATGGATAGGAAAACTATGTAAATACTTCTACTATACTTAACAGACAGGTAATATAAGAAGCACATATTGGAGAATATATTTCAAAGAGATAAAAGTGTACTTGCAGTTCAAAATCATGGCTGAACAGCAACAGATATAATTTAAATAAACACGTAAAGAGATTTATTTGAAACTTCTTTAAATAATGCCACATTCCTTTATGAAAAACATTGTATTCCTCTGTAACATTTTGCAAACTTTGTTGAGTTGAAGGCAGGTGTATGTGAAAGAAAACATAAAGATTCTTTTATTGCAATGATCTTTTTTCAAAGCTTGGTTTGGATGCCTTTATTAGTAACCAAGAGTAATGTGACAAAGGCTTAAAGACTGGGGTACTTTCAAAGCTGTTATCAACCCATCACTGATAAGGACAAAGTACTCTAGTCTGTCTAAAACCAATAACACAAAAAAGGAGGACCGACAACATCGCTGGGCGTTGGCGGTTACCTTGGGGAATGCAAAATCTAACTTCCGTGTAGCTGGAATTTTCCCTTTCAATTTCACAGGCTGAAAACCTGTTTTGGACAAAGATCTCATTACTTACAACCAGTTGAGCTCTAAATAAAATATATTTTTAAAACTATTATCTAGGTTGATTTTCTAACTATCCACCTAAGTGTGATTCTGGGGTGTATTTAACTTCACATTACGTGTTTTATTTTGTAGATATCTTCATGTTGCTGTGGCTCAAGGCAAGCGAGCTCTCTCATATGTGCTTGCTGCAAAAATGGCCAGATATGGCTCCCTAGATATAAAAGAACGCAACGAACAGGTAAGACATCTGTCACGAAGTTACACTACGCTGTTTATCTCACATACAATAGCATTAAACCCACGATGCTTCCAAACAGACACCTTTCCAGATTGCAGTGGCCACCAATCAACACTTGATCGTCTCTGATCTTCTGACTCATGGAGCAAATCTCAACATCAGGGACCTGTGGGGACGCTCTCCTCTGCATGTCTGCGCTGAGAAAGGACACTCCCTCAGTCTTCAGGTAAAACATTACTTTAGTTTATTGATATCAGTGAAGAAAAGTAATGAAGGTAATAAAATGATCACTGTTTAACAGAGAAGAGCTATTTTTCTAAAACATACCAGAGCAAACTTAACTTTTTTGTTGGTTTTTGGCCAATTCGAATAGATCTATGTAAAGAGGAAGAGCTTTAGAAATATGCTTTACACCCAAAGGAATCAGGTTCTAACATGTTGTCTACGCCTACTGCACCTCGGTTTCACTTTGATTGAACCTTCGTGCGAAGAAGAAGCTGATGATGCTGGATGAACGCATCAGGAAATAAGTGCACAATAAACAGAGCCCTGCCTTGTGTTGGCTGCAGTCCCATCATGCAAATATGAGCTGCTCAGCCCTGGCAACACCTCTTTTTTTAAAGAGATGTCTTCCGTTGATAAACATTTTTTTTCCATTACTCTATGTAAGTGTTGAAAGAAGTTAAATGACAAAAAAGCTTTGAACTTGACACAATATTCTTAACTTAATCTTTTCTGGGCTACAAAACCTGTTTGCTCTCTTAATTGGATAAACAATCAGACATATTACTGTTTTGAAAGACAGGAAATACAGGATTCCCAGAGTAAAGTTAATGAAAAAAAAGTATTTTAATCCACACTTTAAAAAGTTAATGAATTAAGAAAATCGAAAACAAGAAAATAATGTTAAGATCGAAACTGCTTACAATATATTTCAGTCATTTTTTATTATTCAATCAAAGTTGCCTTCAATGTCTTGCTTATCAGTTCCAGAAGTGGCCACCAGGGGGCGTAAAACAAGCCCTGGCCTTACATTCAGTTAGGCTCAGTTTAGAATCCAGAAAAATCCATCAAAGTTCGGCTAAAATCTAATACAGATGATCAGTAAGGAATTAAGAAAATAATAACTGAAATGATCCTCCCACTTTGGAGAAAAAACTTCTACGGACTGCCAAGCATTCAAGCGGTTCTAGACAGGGGCCAACAAGGGCCAGCTAATCCTGGCCCTTGTACTGAAAGTGAAATTTTCTTTGATTTAAGCAGGTAGGTACGAATACTCGCTAAAAGAATATGATGATTTACGTTTAAATAAAAAACAACCAACAAAAACCACATATCTCCTTTATTTTCATTAATGCACCATTTCAAAATGTCTTATAATGGGAAAAAAACTCATTCCTTTGGCAGATCAGCTGATTACCTTTCTATAATTAAGGGAAAATATACTTATTTCAAAAAACATGTTTGCACTATAATACTAAATCAGTTTTATATGGAGCTAAATGCTGACACTGCAAAAACAACCATGAAATAAGTAAAAATGTCTTAAATTAAGTGTATTTCCCCTAATTTGAGTAGGTAAATAAGATGATTTGCTAAAGGAATTAGTAATTTCTACTATCAAAATAAGATAATTAGATAATATGCACTTCAAATAAGACAATTCTATTTATTTTAAATGTAAATAGTTTTATTCCAGTGGCAAAGTTTCTCTCTTACCTCCTCAATTCAAGAACAAATGCACTTATTTTAAGAAACTAATACATAACCTAATTATATTTCAGTTTTTTTGCAATGAGAAGAGTCATCGCTTTGATCAATCTGATATTTATCCTTTACAATCTACTTTAACTAATATCTAGAAATTGCAGCTGTAGCTGCAATGAGGTAGGATCACAGGTCTCATCTGTTAGATGAGGGTTTGCAGCCTTGGCTTTGTTGCTCACATACCGTAAAGATGCACTTTTCTTTAGTTTTATTGTTTTGTTCTGTGCCACACTGAAACAAGCCATGGGGTGACCCTAACCCCAGTAGAACTTCCACTGCTGTTGGGTTTATTCACACGGAAACCTGCAATGTCATCAACTTGCCATATCAGTTTGTTGGACATTCGGAGGAAGCGAATTAGTTTTAGAGTGGATCTAAAACATTAGGAACATTGGAGGTTCTAGACCAGATATGGGGAGGATCTCACTTTTCTTCTGTAATCTTAATCTACACTGCTAAAGCTAAAAGTCATTTATTCATTTCTAAATAATTAGTCAAAGTAATCTGGAAAGTTATAAAACTAGTCTCAGGAAAAAAGTTGGTTAAAGTCTCTTCTGTTTCTTTAAATCATCATTAAAAATGTCATCTCCAGTGACGGGGCTGGGAATCCCGTTTGTACCGTAATAAAAATGAATTCACCTTCCAATTGAATCAAACGGACCTGTTTATAGGCTGGACATGGATCACATATGTGTGGATTTACAGATAACCACATACAGTCCAAACTAAGATTGGAGATTATCTTGTCCTAGCATCCGTTATGGGTCAGAGTGTGTAGAAAGGATGCCCTAAACAGCTCATCTGTTGTTGTGAGTAGATATGTGATGACACACTGCATAGTGATGCTCAGACATGGTGCAGCTGTTTGCTGACAAAGATCCAGTTTGCAGGAAATCATGTATTTATGGTTTAGAGGCAACGGTATGCAAATGATGAGAAAGAAAAACTTCTCCTCCGGCTGTTAACTATTTATTATTTTAAAGAATCATCTTTACTCTGATTTAAAGATATTTCTAAAAAGTTTAAAATCTTAGATTTGCATTAAATGTGAAGCTGCGATGAGGAAATCTAGCCTGAGTGGAAAAGCAAAGATGTCTGTTAGGATGTGAAGACCCATACTGCTGCTGTCCTGATTAAAAAAGCAAATCATCTTTCCACAGAGCATCTGCAGCGCAGTGACCGGGAACAGCCAATCCGTGGAGGTTGAAATGTTTAACTATGATGGTGAGTATATCACCCAGTGAGATGTTCAGGCTGGGATCTTGTTAAATTGATGACTGTGTCTGCTGTGTTTTGAAGGTTTGACTCCTCTCCATGTGGCGGTTTTGTCTCATAACGCCGTCGTCAGGGAGCTCAGGGAAATGGACAACCCTTGTAAATACATGATCTCTAAACTGGCGCACAGGAAGCGCAGCTATGTGGAGTGCATCAGGATTCTGATGTTCATGGGCGCCTCGTACGGGACAAAGGTGAGCATTACAGCCTTAGGATTTTCTACTTCATTTAATATAGAAGATAAATAAATAGAATGTAATTAGTTGTTTTCCAATGATGAGTACATTGATTAGAGGAGGAGGATCCAAACCAACTGTGCTCTCTGTGAATATACCAAATATTTCCTTTCTCTTTGGTTGAAACAACATTTTCACTAGTCAGTGACTAGACTGTATGGCGGTGTTTCCCAACCTTTTTATACTTGTTGTATTTCTTTGGGCATTTTATCTTACCATGATTACCCATCTTAGTCAAAAAAGTATTGATGATTGTCTAAAAGGGGAACAGGATGGTAAAATAAATCTTTTAATTTGAGCATTTCACGCTTCAGGCATTTTATTCTTTCCATCTCAAATAAAAAATAACATAAAAATGTTGCCTGGAAGTTGGTAAGGAATCGAGATAAATAAAGAATAAAATCATATCAATTATAAATCTGTATTTATAAAACTGGAGCTCCTCCGATAGCTCCCTTATAATCTCATTTAAGCTTGATGAATCTGAAAAAAAAAAAATACAGAACAAAATTTACAGTTAGACTGACTTAATTAGTTTTACTTTGTTTTCATTAAGACACCTAAGCTGTTCTGATGATCCCAGGCTGCTCTCTACATCCAGTCTGTTCCTCTGCTTGAAGAAAAAACTTACTTTTTGGTTGATAAATTTAATTTTTGAATTGGGTCCTGACAAAGTAAAAGATATCCTAGACCTATTTTATTTTACTACCTAAGAAATTAAATATTTTCATGTTCCCTCTAAAATGCACTCGTGTACCACTAGTGGTATACATACCCTCGGTCGGTCGAGACTTTCACTAGGTCACTCTAACCCTCTTTTGAGAATCTTACAAATGTTTAAAAACTGATATTCTCTTTGATTATTTTCTAGCCACGAGATTCCATTGCTCTATGAAATCATCCAGGTCTCAAACCAACAGAGCAACCCCAGACCAACATGCTACTTAACTGTAGTTGTAGTTCACAGCATTTTCACCAAGTCTTTACAAGAGATCGAGTTTGGTTTTAGCCATTATATATATATAAAAAAAATTAATTTAGTGCTTCAGGTGTTCTGTTACCTCCTGCATAAATAACTGATGCATTTCTGGAGTCAGTGTGGAACGAGACACTTCTGGGAAGGTTCCACTATTTGAACAGAGCCTACAAACCTTATGAATGGATTTGTAGACGTTTCCAGACTGATAGATGTAAATAATATTTTCCTTTGTTGCTTTTTAATCCTCTAGTCCTCTTCATGTTGTCAAACTGGCACTTTTTAAATGGCTTTTGATCCTGCCAATCAGAATGCACAGGTTTGGTTACTAGAATGGAGCTTTTTTCAGTTATAAGATCATTACAATCCTGCATATTGTTTGCTTAAGTAAAAATAGGTTGGAGCTTTTGTAGTAATGAAACGTAACAACCAAAAGCAGAAGATATGAAAATGGAAAACAAATCTGCAGTAATTTCAATGAAATAAAGAAAAAATCTTGCATTTTTCTGTTTAAAGGAACTGAAAAGTGGCCGAACCTGCATCCACATGGCCTCAGAGGAGGCAAATACTGAGCTGCTGAACCTTTTCCTTCAACACCCGACATCCCTGGCCTTGGTTAATGTCAAGGTAAGTAACAACGGTGGAAGATTTCCAATAATCTAGGTTCTAGGAACGGCCTTTTCTTTGTGGCCACTGTGAAAACGTTCCTTTTCCTTTCAGACATTCAGTGGAAACACTGCCCTGCACATCGTCAGCTCTTTACAAAACAACAAAAATCAGGTGGAGGCTGTGAAGCTGCTAATGAGGAAAGGTGGCGATCCGGGGGCAAGGAATTTTGAAAATGAGCTGCCATGCCAGCTGGTGGCAGAAGGACCTGTTGGTGAAAAGGTAAGGACTGAGAAACAGCAGAAATTCAGGTTGAAGACATGTTTGCCCTTATATTTAAAACCCTTTTTACACACTGTAGGGGTTTTGCTTTAGAATCTATTGTATAAGAAGTCATTCAAATATAGAAAAAACAAAATATAAAAAAAGTTTTACCATGATTTTGATAAAATGTGTTTTTTTTTTTTTTTTTAGGTACGGCAGATCTTGAAGGGGAAACAGATTCAGGTCTAAAAAACAAACTCCAGAACACTGTCAGTCAGACAGTCCGGTTAATATTAGATATTTGCCCAAATATGGCAGATGATCGTTGTTTCAGTGAAACATTGAGATGTGTTCGTTACCATGTAATGTTACCATTTTTTTTTTTTTTTTCATTTTTTTTGTTTGAAAATTTTGGGGTCTGGAATATAAAGTGGGATATTTTAAGTTAATCTCTTATTGTCTAAAACTTAATTAAGGACTAGAAGCATCCGGGAAAAAAAAACAACTTGCATTCAGATCAGTTATCTTTACAGGAAAGAACAGAAAACATTTTTGTTGGGATTCTGATCTCATGCTTAGCGCGAAGATAAAGTCCCACATATTTAAATACCTTTCTGCTTCAGAGTCCACTTTTTATTCCAAATGACTTTTATATTTGAAAAGATTAACTTGGTGCTTCTACTGTAACTATGCATCACCTTCTGTTCCACTTATTTCTCATTTTTTTCATCCATTAAATAAATTCCTGTTCAGCCACTATCAGATATTATGTTTTTTGAGCATTTGTTTAGGTTAAGGCAACTAAATTAACTCACTTCTTGAAATAGACCCTTTACCTAATATTGTTTAAAATGTTGAGATTTGCTGTGATTAATTATTTACAGGTTTGTGGTATTGGTGGTAGAATCATATATTTTTTTTGAGCAGTGTATGCTTTTGTTTTTTAAGACTAAAAATAACCGATTTCAGTTTTCACAAACTAAAACCAGGTTTTATTTTGTTTCGAGGAAATCGCTGAATATATTTTAATTATGTTGTGAAGTTAAGGTGTTTTTTCTGTGACTGTTGTTGAATCAAAGTTAAGAAATAAAGTCCCTTTGTTGTTTCAAGTTTTATTGTCTACATTGAAAAACATGAGGCTGAAATGGAAACAGTCATATTTAACATTTGGCATGTTGGGAAAAAACGGTTTCTGGAGAGGAAAGCAGTAATCACAAACCGTCCAATCATTGATTCGATAAGAACAATGAAATCATTGCTGTTAATATAAATATAGAAAATGATGCCAGGGGAGAGCATCCATAAGTCTCTAAACCGGAGAAGTTATTTCTTCTTCTTCTCCTGTGTGGAGGTGAACCACTGGTCCAAGAGCTTCTTGCTGTAGTAGATCTGCCAGCCGTGCACCTGGACAGCGATGATGACCACCAAGTACATCACAGACACGGCAGAGAAGCCGAAAATGAAGCGGTATGCCTTTCCATGCCTATACAGCTGCTGAGCCATGGGGAACATCTCCATACCGCCGTAGATTAGTGGCGCTACGCAGAAGAGGCCGCTGCTGATCATGGAGATTACCAGGTAGCTGATGTTGTTACGGGGCAACGCCAGGAAGCTGAAGACGGTGGGGACTATGCTCAGCAGATAGGGGTACTCCCACTGGTACGGAGAGGCCACCACCTTGTGGGATACCAGACTCAGCTGGCTGACGGTTACCTGGAGACAGCAGGAAACAATGAAAATCTATGCTGGCTATAAAATAGAAAGGAGAAAAAAAGCTTTCTGACCTGAGCAGCCATCAGGATCCAGATCAGCAGATGAACTATGTTGAGTTTACGGATTTCAGACTTCAAAGCAACACTAAATCCAAAAGAAAAAAAAAAATCAGTCACCAACTGAATCCTTTCTATTATTTAGCTTCATCTACCCAAACATAGAATTTATCTTTATTTTTTTTTAATGGCACAAACTGAGTGACATGGATTCTATTTGAGGACTTCAGGGTAAAAGGAAGCAAATAATTCATCTTAACATTTAAAGATTGAAAACTTTATGAAACACATAAGTTTGAGCATTTTAAATACTTTGGTTCTACATGATTCTGACCACTAGGTGGAGCATGAAGCCTACATCATCCTGTCAGCAGAAGAGATGCAGAGTTACAAAATTAGCTAGGATGGGTCTCTTTATTATGAGTCACACATTATAACACAAAGAACAAGGAGTGAAGGTGATGATCAGAAAATAGTAGGAAAAAAGAAGAAATGAAAGAAAATAGAAAGGAGGAGAGTGTGAGAACACGGTTAAGATTTGGGCAAACAGGACTTAATTATAGTTTTTTTTTAATTCAAAAGCATTCTACTGGTAAATGTGGTTACTGTGAAAAATATGAAACAACATAAAAGAACGTGTTATTCTAGAATGTCAGAAATATGAAACAGCAGATATAAGGAAAGAGTTTAAATGTATTAAGGAAAAGGTTAATTTATTAGATATTTTGAGGAAGAATTTGGGGAGTAAACATACATAGATAGTTATTAGATTTTTAAAGAAAACTAAATTATTTCATAGAATTTGATTATAGAACGTGTTTATATGAATATGTGTATGATATAGATGGGTAGAACAAAGTTATGTATAAGCAGCGGTGTCAAAAGTACACACTTTTGTTACTTAAGTAGAAGTACAGGTGCTGGTCATAAAATTAGAATATCATGAAAAAGTAGATTGATTTCAGTAATTCCATTTAAAAAGTGAAACTTGTATATTATATTCATACATTACATACAAACTCATATATTTCAGATGTTTATTTTGTTTAATTTTGATGATTACAAATGACAACAAATGAAAATCTCAAATTCATCATATCAGAAAATTAGAATATTGTGAAAAGGTTCAAAATTGATGGCCCCTGGTGCCACACTCTAATCAGCTAATTAACTCAAACCACCTGCAAAAGCCTTTAAATGGTCTTTCAGTCTAGTTCTATAGGCTACACAATCATGGGGAAGACTGCTGACTTGACAGTTGTCCAAAAGACGACCATCGACACCTTGCACAAGGAGGGCAAGACACAAAAGGTCATCGCTAAAGAGGCTGGCTGTTCACAGAGCTCAGTGTCCAAGCACATTAATAGAGAGGCGAAGGGAAGGAAAAGATGTGGTCGAAAAAAGTGTACAAGCAAGAGAGATAACCGCACCCTGGAGAGGATTGTGAAACAAAACCCATTCAAAAATGTGGGGGAGATTCACAAAGAGTGGACTGCAGCTGGAGTGAGTGCTTCAAGAACCACCACACACAGACGTATGAAAGACATGGGTTTCTGCTGTCGCATTCCTTGTGTCAAGCCACTCTTGAACCACAGACAGCGTCAGAAGCGTCTTGCCTGGGCTAAAGAGAAACAGGACTGGACTGCTGGTGAGTGGTCCAAAGTCATGTTCTCTGATGAAAGTAAATTTTGCATTTCCTTTGGAAATCAAGGTCCCAGAGTCTGGAGGAAAAGAAGAGAGGCACTTCATCCACGTTGCTTGAAGTCCAGTGTAAAGTTTCCACAGTCAGTGATGGTTTGGGGTGCCATGTCATCTGCTGGTGTTGGTCCATTGTGTTTTCTGAGGTCCAGGGTCAACGCAGCCACATACCAGGAAGTTTTAGAGCACTTCATGCTTCCTGCAGCTGACCAACTTTTTGGAGATGCAGATTTCATTTTCCAACAGGACTTGGCACCTGCACACAGTGCCAAAGCTACCAGTACCTGGTTGAAGGACCATGGTATCCCTGTTCTTAATTGGCCAGCAAACTCTCCTGACCTTAACCCCATAGAAAATCTATGGGGTATTGTGAAGAAGAAGATGCAATACACCAGACCCAACAATTCAGAAGAGCTAAAAGCCACTATTAGAGCAACCTGGGCTATCATAACACCTGAGCAGTGCCACAGACTGATCGACTCCATGCCACGCCGCATTGCTGCAGTAATACAGGCCAAAGGAGGCCCAACTAAATACTGAGTGCTGTACATGCTCATACTTTTCATGTTCATACTTTTCAGTTGGCCAACATTTCTATAAATCCTTTGTTTTTATTGGTCTTCAGTAATATTCTAATTTTCTGATATGATGAATTTGAGATTTTCATTTGTTGTCATTTGTAATCATCAAAATTAAACAAAATAAACATCTGAAATATATGAGTTTGTATGTAATGTATGAATATAATATACAAGTTTCACTTTTTAAATGGAATTACTGAAATCAATCTACTTTTTCATGATATTCTAATTTTATGACCAGCACCTGTATAGATACTGCAGTTTAAAAAGACTCTGGTAAAAGTTGAAGTATCGACTTGTCCTCTTTACTCAAGTAAAAGTGAGAAAGTATGTGCTCCAAAAACTACTTAGAGTATAAAAGTATAAAGTAACCTTAAAAAGAAACAGCCAGATGCCACTATATGAATTGAAAGCTCAATTTTTCGACAATTTTGAAAAATTCTTTGAGTTAGGGCCAAGGATGAACGAAGTCTTGTCGGTGCTCAGTCTCCCGTTAGGCTCTCGCCTGTGTCCGACCTTTCAGACATTTCAACAGATTTTTCTGAATCAGACATTGTAGCATGGCATAGACAATTCACGTTTGCAGTTTGAAGAATACCTGCTTGCTTCTGGTGATTTCCATTGGCGTCAGCACAAATTTGATGAATAGCCAACCAATGAGTGTTTGCATTATATGACTCGTCCAATTATACTAGTTTTCACTAGATGTGGATGGCGCCAATGATCTGCATTTGATGGCGCACATAATGTGACATAAATATTTATAAACATTAAACCGAAGCCAAGAGGAACGAGTAACGTTCGGTTAAAAAATGTAAGGAATAGAAAGAACAGATACTTGTGTGAAAAAGTAATGAATAGAAGTAGAAAGAAATATTAGAGTAGAGTAAAATATAGATAGCTAAAAAGTGTACTTAAGTACAGTAATGAAGCATTTGTACTTTGTTACTTGACACCTCTGTGTACAAGTATGTGTATATATATATATATATATATATATATATATATATATATATATATATATATATATATATATATATATATATATATATATATATATATATATATATGTGTATATGTATAGGATTTTTTTTTTTTTAGAATTTATTTAAATGTATATAAGCAGACAGACTATCAGGAATCACACTCCATACCAGTAAGTAGCTGTAATGCTACTAAAATGTTGTTGCCAACAGCAAATAAATCCATGAAGATGATGAAGAATTGGGGGGCTTGGCTATACTGACCTCATCTGGTAGTGGGAAGCAACACGCTCCCTGTGCTGGAAGTCGCTCCCATCTGTCCCTGATGCTCTGGGTCCTGCTCGAGAAGCCATAGTAGATATCTGCAGGCAAGACAGAGGATCTTTAGAAACTTTCAGAGTATCCAAAACTTCAATTTAAGAGTAGAACTACTTCATCAGGTAAAGGTAACCTTCAAAAGAAATTATTCAACGGATCTACTTAAGTAAATCTTAAGAGATCAAAAAAACAAACAAAAGTTACTCCAGTAACTAACTATCCACCTCTGCTTCCTTCAGGTAGTAAACATCAATCCAAACCACCTGACCTTTAAAAAAGCGTTTGAATGAATGAGGTTTATTGAAATAAGCTCGATAGCTCTGATCAAACAGCACAGACAGAAGTCCCCTTCACTTCTGCTTAATCTAACAGTCGCTTCCAGTAGCTAAATAAACCTAAACATAGAGGGCAAGGATGAAGGAGACATTATTTCTCCCATTATCAAATAAAACCTGCTAATTAGGGCATTTTTATTTGTTTTACATTGCTTGGATATCTTTAAACCAGTCTTGCAACATGTTGCTGTCATTTTATTTTACATAGACAGCTGTGGAATCGTTCTATATTCAATTATTAATGACATTTTTCAGCTGCTGTACAGCTGAAAACGTTAGCCGTGCAGCTAACATGCTAGCTAGCTGCTTCATTCACTTTTCGGTGCTAGCCGACATTAGCATCGAGCCCCTCTCTTCAACGCAGCTCATTTAAAGCGCCTCGCAATGATGATTAAAGCTCTTACCTATTAGTCTCCCAGTGTTTC